GGGTTTAGGGTTTAGGGTTCTATTCCCTGAAGGCTCAAAGGGGTTTCGGTCGTTCGGTCCAAGGGTTGACAAGCGTCGAGGAAGAATACAAATTCCATGGGCTTGTAGCACGAGGGGCCCCTTCAGAAGGAACTTTGCTAAACAAAAACAAACCCTAAAACCTTAATCTTACAGAAAACCAAAAGCCCAAAGCCCCTGACCAAAAAACACCTACATCTTACCTGAAACCCTTTAACGCGAACGAAGGGATCCCGAATGCTCATGACCGTCATACCGTGAGCCCACATGCGCCCCTTGCTTTTCCTTCGTAGCGTTGGGGGGGTAACTTGTTTTAGGGCTTGAGATTTACTAGAGGGGTCTGAGTACTTACCAATACTATTAGCAAATGAGTCCTGTATCATACAGCGCCACCCGTATTGAGAGCGCTGACAGAGTCCGACAAAATACCCACAAAACCCTAGTACCTCACAAAAGCAAGCCCCCAAACCGTGCCCCCGCCTGATTTCGTTACTGCATAGGGCTTAAGGCTCCTAGACCCTAAACCCTAAACCCTAAAATCCTAAACCCTACACCCTAAACCCTAAACCTTAAACCCTAAACTACAGGGGGAAAAAGCCTAAACACATCTTTCCTGCTTCCAGCCATCCTCTGCTCAGCGTCCGAGTGACACTTTGAAGTCGGCTGGGTCGACGGTGATGACATCGGTTCCTGCAGCGGCGCAGCTCCGGCTTTTTGAGCCTCCGTGTTCAGGTTTTTGTTTTTGAATGCCTTTTTCAATCTGACAGAGCGTGCTCAGGGTTTAGGGTTTAGGGTTTCAGAGATTTCAGCCTTTCGGACTACTATGGGGGGTAGCTACAAAATACGGCTCGTTTTGAGTCTGCTCAGAATATTTTGTCGGTTTCCATCCGGCAGGACCCTTGCACGAAGTTGATTTACAACACCCTGCGCGCACCAAACTTAGCAGCGTTTTAACTTCTGGTAGTTGGTGCAGTGCCTTGGGTTTTAGTTGGCTTGGCATGACGCTGTCTTTGTGATTGGCAGCTGGCTTCAAAAGTTCTCTGTGCGCGAGCATCCATCCATCCCGCATCCATCCACCCATGCAAGTTATATCGGTGCAGATTTAAACATAAGCGCTATAGACATGCGTGTGCATCATTACATACATACATACATACATACATACATACATACATACATACATACTTACATACTTACTTACTTACTTACTTACTTACTTACTTACTTATTTACATGCATACATGCATGCATGCATAGCATTACATGCATACGCAACATAACATAACACAACATAAACTAACATTCTCTGTATACATGTGCAAGAAACGTCCTGGTCCTATATACACACAAACACGCATATCGACACGTATACTACATAAACGTATACATGAATAATACCATCAACATACCCACGATCATATCATAGCATAACAAAACAAGGCTACAGATTCAGAGACCCACACGGACGCAAATGCATACATAGATACGTACATACATACATACATACATACATACATACATACAGACATACAGACATACAGACATACAGACATACAGACATACATGCATACATCCATACACACATGCATACGGTACAATCATACGCACATGCATACATCCATGCATCTGTATATACATACATTCATACATACATTTTGCGACACACACATGCACTTTTGCATTTTTATAAGAACACACACACATACACACACATACAGATAAGTATACGTACATGTACAAACATACGTATCCTTAACTTATAGTTAAACTTAAAGATTATACATATATTATGGATACATACACATGAGCATACACACGCGTGCACCCGCGCTATCTCTAAACTTCTAAGCAAGTTTGAGGAACTAATGGAAAACACATTCTTCACTTGCTAAGACCGTCGATTATGTAAAGTGCCGGTGCCTGTGCCTTCTTTTCCCGGGATGAGGCAGCTGAAGGAAGCAACTACCTGCATGCAACAGTATGGATACAGTTGGAGTTCTCAGTCAACTAGAAGCTGAAGAGGCTTGCGATTGGCCCAAGTTCACTCCTGAAGAAATATGTGCACCCCAGTCCTCGCAACGTTTGAAGTTCCTCTGGCTTCTTCCGGTAGGAATGGCTTAAACAACTTAAACCAAATGCCCTTAACCCTTCATCATGATTGCTGCTTCCCTTCGGTGGTCGTCTGGATCTTCTTCTCGGTGATCATTCATATCTTCCGTCAAACGCCAACAATGTCTCACAATAACTAGTGCTGTACATGATACAGTCCATCCCTGAAGCCCTAAACTGCCAACCCCCTACCGACTAAAGCCTCAGGATTGAACCGTCCCGTCACGAGGCCAATACCCCAAAAAAAAACCATCAAGCTCGAACCCTAAGCCCAAGCACCTTCATTCTGTTCAGTTCCCAAGAGCCCTCTGTGGTAAAACTATACGCGCTTGCGTGTGGAACTCATGAAGATGGATCGACAAACGGGGTACTGCATTCAATGCGTCTAGAATATAAACACACTTACACGCATAAAACAACAGCAACAGCAACAGAAACACCATCAGCATGAGTATCACCATCCACACCAGCAACAATAGCAGCAGCAGCAGCAGCA